CGTTAAACGACCAAACATAATCCTGTCTTCATTTAACTAATTTAGTCCCCATTTAGGTTAAACCTAATTCTATTTCTCTCTCAAATCGCCACCTGTTTCCGCCATAGCTCCGCCGCCCGGAAATCACCCCACGGCGGCGGAGCACCTCCAAACGCCTCCAAATCTTAACCCTACAACCTCCGCCATCTCCTCGTCCTTGTCCCACCATTGATCTCCCTAAAATATCACCCAATCCTTCCGAATTATAGATCCAAAAATGAAAAATCCAAACTTTTCTCTTTTTCCCAAACTTTTCAGATTAAACCCTCAATCCATAGCAAAACCCCGTGAATTCCCCAGTTTCTTCAACAAGATAACTTTGTTTGAATATCTAGAAGCCCTATCTCGTGGATTTGGGTCAAATTTCGGAAAATAGCTTTTGAACGTTTTAATTTCTTCGAGCCTCTGCCTCGCTTCTTTTGGCACAGGTTGAGGATTGATGCATGAATCATTAGCCATGAACGAAAGTTCGGCTAATATTCGTGTTGCAATTCTCACCGTTTGGCCAAGTTTCTTGCTCGCCGGAGTTCGAGTTTGAGTCGTCACTGTCCTCGAAGTTTCTAAGGTTTGATTGGATTCAATTGGTATACCCCTTTTTCCTTTTTTCTATGAGTTCAATTATTGGTCATAAGCTCGAATCTCTTCTCCCGTTTCTGGAATTATGTAGGTTAAATAAGAGATTTGGGAATTTTGTTAATTAATTAGTGATTTAGCTTTAATTTGCATTTTTTTCTTTCAATGAGTTCCAATTCAAAAGCATGTTGTCTTAGTCCTCGTGTTTGGATGCCACTTTCTTTGATTTTGTTGGTTTGTCAGTTTGGCTCAGAATTGGGTTTTGTTAGTACACAACGGGCAGGCCCATTAAATAAAAGGTTTGGCAGAATGAAGGTCCAAAACTTTGGAGGCATGTCCGGTGGCCCAAGTCTACTTTTAAAAGAACTGGGGAGGCTAATATATGGATTTTAACTTAAAATTTTTTAGATAACTACCTAGGAAGCTTCTAGAAAGCTGATAAGGATAATGGAGGGGGAATATTCTAGATCGGAAGAGCAC